AGAAAGAGAAGAAGAAGGAGAAGGAGAAGGAGAAGGAGAAGGAGAAGGAGAAGGAGAAGGAGAAGGAGAAGGAGAAGGAGAAGGAGAAGGAGAAGGAGAAGGAGAAGGAGAAGGAGAAGGAAGGAGAAGGAGAAGGAGAAGGAGAAGGAGAAGGAGAAGGAGAAGAAGAAGAAGAAGAAGAAGAAGAAGGAAAGAAGGAAGAAGAAGAAAAAGAAGAAGAAGAAAAGGTGGAGAATTAGAGCCTCTTTCAAGAAAATACTACAGGGAACTCAGTGTTAATCTTAAAAACAAAAACATACTGGTAACTTTAAATTGGCTCCCATACTGTGATTAGAAAGGGCAACTGGAAACTGCTAAGTCAGTGAAGTTGAGTAATATCATCACCCTCATGAGCATCCCCGACAGCGCATTCATGCCTACAAATGCCCGTATTAACATTTGTTAGAGTTGAACCAACTAAATGGCTTCTTCCTTCTCTGCCTCCAGGGCAGCCAAGATGGCAGGACCTTGAAGTTCCATCCCATATGGTCATCCTTGCTCCAAATCAAGGTGCCTAGAACCAGGCAGTTTAAACCTACCAGGGAGAGGGGCCCCTGGCGGGCTCAGTCAGAAGAGCATGTGACTCTGGATCTCGGAGGGGTGAGTCTGAGCCCCACCTTGGGTGTAGAGATTACATAAATAGATAAATTTTAAAGCTATGGGGGGGGTAGTCTAGGGGAGATCTTAACTTAGGGATGGTCTAAGACCTCAGGAGGTGGGGGGGAGGGGGGTGAAGGGAGCAGAAGCAAGGATGTAAGCAGGAAGTAGGGCCCAGCCAACCATCTGGCCTCTCCCTTAGGAGTATGGATGTTGGAACGAAAATTTTTATTTCTGCAGTATAAAAAATAAAGTGACTTAGAAGTCAGGTTCTCTAACGTTCACTACCCCTGTGGGAACGGCAAAGTGGTTTCTAGGAATGGGCTGACAGTCCTAGAGGGGAGGCAGAAGCGGCACCAGACTCAATTTAGGAACTTCAACATTTTCAGAAATGAGAGCCCCCTAATTGTAACTTTTTACACTGTCAAGTTGGAATCACCTTAGGCTGTCTTTTCTCCACTTCTCCCCATCTCCTGCGGCTCTCCAAAACGGTCTTTCGGCTGCCAAAACGGAGGAATGCATCAATACGTTTTCCTTACTGGTCAGAGGTTTTCTTTTCGGGCATGAGGCATGTGGCTTTGCATTCCCTGGGGCATGGTTTGGAGCAAAGGCAGGGCTCTCGTTCTCCAGAGCACACGGGACTGGAATGCAAGGAGCAGCGGAGGCGGCGGCTGCCCGCGGGTGCCTCCTGCCGAGCAGCCGGGGCCCAGGGAGGGGGAAGGGGAGCGGCGCGGCGTCCAGCTCCAACCTCCGCCGGCCCGAGCACTCCTGGCAATGACTGATGCCTTCAAAGGCCCGGTCAATGGCCGCAGTCAGCTCCTTTCTGCATCTTCTCAGTTTTTCAGACATTTCCCCTAAAAGCGACCACGTCTTTATTACGTAACACATTGGAAATGCACAGAGCAACACGAGAATATTGTTACGAAGTTGCAAACCACCCCCGAAAGACGCATCTCCTGGAGCTTGATCCACACCACCGGCCAGAGGGACCCACACGCCGGGCGCCCCCTCCCCAGGCGGCAGGTGTGGCCCGTGGATCTCCCGGAGGAACCAGCGATCGGACGGGAGCCCCAGGGACGCCCAGCCCCGCCTCCCCCGGCTCCGGGCCCGCCCGCCCCTGCCGCCCGGCCCAGCCGTCTCCGCAGCCCCCTCCGGCCCTCGCCAGCGGCCGGCGGCCTGCAGCCAGCCCTCGGGTAGAAGGTCCGCAGCCGAGTCCTCACCCGGCAGCGCGGCCACACCGCCACCCCGACCAACGGTCGCCGCGCGCGCCCCGGCCGACCACGCGCCGGAGAATGGTGCTCCCTGCCGCCCCCACCCCCCCGTCCCCGCCAAGGTTAAAGGTCAGGCAAGAATGCCCGGACCCACCACCTCATTCTTAAAACCCACTCGCCCGGAGCGGAAGCGAGCCCCTCCTGGGGAGGCAGCCGGATGCGGAGGACCGCGGGGGGGGGGGGGGGGGGGGCGCCCCGAGGCCGCGGGGGGGGGGGGGGCAGGTGGGGTGGAAAATCTCACTTCTTACCAAAGTCGGCAAGAAGGGAGAGGTTCCCATTCTCAAGCCAACGGAGAGAAACTGGATGGGCCACTGTACCCAGAAAGTTTTGTGTACCGACTTCTTTTAAGTGACATCTAATAAAAGCGCCACACCGTCTCCAACCGTCTCAATTCATCAAGGATGGTGAGGGACATAACAGAACTGCTAGGTTCCACACGAGATTGAGGGGCAGGAGACCCCAACACCAAATATCTTCATTTCATTAGGGGGAAGAAAGCTAGACATTCCAAGATGGCTCAAAGGGAAACAGAAACGAGCTTCAGGGACTAAATTTTGAGGGAATTATAAACCCATGTCAGTGCACAGCAAGGGAGAAGGGGACAACATCAAGTGAACTGGAGGCTTGGTTTACTGTGGGCGGACTGCTGGGGTGACCAGGAACCAGCACCAGAATAAGGAATCCAGAAACTCAGGGCAACCTGCCGCAGGTCTTCATGGCCACCATAATCAATTACAGTGTTCCTCTCCATTCTTTGGAATTCATCGGCCTTACTCCACTGTACACCCCCCTCCCGACCCCCCACTTTCCAGCTCCACAGGTCTTACAGAAATTTCTCACCACCTGTATAAAAAGAAAAATAATTCAGCCTCTTGACATAACCCTTCTGAGCAAACAGGGTCTTTTTTTTCTTCTGCTCATAAAAGAAGGGGATTTCTTCATCTGGTTTTTAGACCGAACACTAGCAGTCTTCAGAGTGTCAAAGATGTTCTCCTGGGGGATTACACTGGTGCTGTGGGGTGGCAGGGTCTCGGAGGCAGCATCAGTTGGTGTCCATGCTGCAAGCCTCATCGCCCCCTGTGCCCTGCTGCGAGCTGCCTGAGCTCGTCCCTCCCTCAGAGGATCCAGGAAAACTGATGAGTGAAGGCGTCTTATAAAATTCATCATCCCGACGTTGGTAAAAGAGCACATAAGCTGCTTTTGTCTAAAACACAAGAGGGGAAAAGTTCATTCACAGGTCGGAATTATCACCCTTTCTCCCAGCTTTTCGCTCACTGTTCAAAACCTACTTTCAGAGAACTGCCATCTTGCCCTGTGCATCCAGGCACAGAGGCCACCAGGAACGTGACCCTGCCCAGAGAGTGGGGAAGGGCCAGTGCCTGTGACAGAGAACTCAAGAGAGTGGTGCTTCTCATTTAGGAAGGGTCCTGGAAGGAACGGCAGTCAGCTCTTTCTCTACCACACCTAGCTCCCACTGTCACATCAGGATGACCAAATAACCAACTAGCCCAGGAGACTCTCCCCAGCTTTAATCTGTCAGGTAAGAGGAGGAACCAAGTACTAGAGCCTACTCACCACTATCTGATCCTCAGAGGCCAGGGACACGTTGCTATCATCAAAATAATACCATTTCCCATTCAGTTTGTTCTTCGCATATGCAGTGTCTGCCAAGTCAACAAAGAAAATAACCTCTAGCAATCACCAGAGAACTAATCTGGCTAGTTTATTAGGCTTGCACTAAACAATAAAACTCTAAAAAAATAAAACAAAGACCCTGAAATTAAGAGTAATTTACAGGTGACAACCAAAAGATAACTCATCTTTTTTTGAAATCTGTTCTTCCTCAAAAAGGGTAAAAATGGGGCGCCTGGGTGGCTCAGTCGATTAAGCATCCGACTCTTGATTTCAGCTCAGATCATGATCTCAGGGTTGTGAGTCTGAGCTCCACGTCGGATTCCATGCTGGGTATGGAGCCCGCTTAAGATGGTCTCTCCCCCTCCCATAATCTCTCCCCCTCCTGCTCTTAAAAGAAAAGAGGGGGAGGGGTGGTAAAAATGGAGTGTCAGCGACCAAGGCTTTAAGCTGTAATTTTGGGGGTGCCTGGGTGGCTCAGTTGGTTAAGCGACTGCCTTTGGCTCAGGTCATGATCCTGGAGTCCCGGGATCGAGTCCCACATCGGGCTCCCTGCTCAGCAGGGAGTCTGCTTCTCCCTCTGACCCTCTTCCCTCTCGTGCTCTCTCTCTCTCTCAATTCTCTCTTTCTCAAATAAATAAATAAAATCTTTAGAAAAAAATAAGCTGTAATTTTGGGACACTAATCAAAAGAACAGAAAAATCCAGTATCAATCTTCAGGATAGCTATAAGCAATAATCCAGAGCCAAGGCACCCATAAAAGAAGCTGGTAAGATTTAAGCAAAAATGGCTCTCAAAAGAACAGGTCAAATCAAACCCCACTTGGTCCAGTAGATGGCTACTGCCTCTTCCTGCCTCTGGAGCCTCCGGGGTAATCCCGGTGAGGGACACACTGGGAGTTTGGGTTTGCAGAGCTGGAATGTGGACAAGACGCCTTAAATGTATCTTTCTCTGAAACTGTGAGTCAAAGTCTGTGGCTGGGTAACAGTTCCTCACAGTGGTCTAGGCATTCCCCACAGCCAACGCTTCCTGTCTTGATTTTATACTATTCCCCAGCAGGATGTGGTTACAACGGCAATCCCAGCAGCAACGAGCAATTCCTGTCCCCTCCAGACTCTACAAAATGACACTCTCCTGGAGAACTGGTTGCTAGTCTCCACCTGCTGCGTGACTTGGGGCCAGACATTTATCCCTCACCGGAGTGCCCACTGCGGGGTGAGGAACACAGGAAAAGGTGCCGAAGGCCTGCCCCTACTGTCCCTCTCCCTCTGCCCCTCTGCATTGCATGCACGCGCGCGCTCTCTCTCAAATAAATAAATAAATCGTTTAAAAAACAAAAACAAAAAACCTACACATTCCAGACATTTTGGAAGATAAGGTAGAGCAAAGAGAACGTTTCCTTGCTTTTTGCTTTACATAGTTGTGATGCTAGCTTCTGCAAGGACACAAGTTTGAACATGTCATGGGCATTTCCCCACATTACCATTCATTTTATTTGGCAATGGTTGTGCACTCGTCTGTCATGTAGGCGGACAGCAGTGCCAACTGCTGGGTCACCGATGCAGCTACTAATTTTTCACTGTTAAAAATACGTGAACCTTTGTGCATAAAGCACAATTTTCCCAATGTCAAGTGCTTTCCTTAGGATAGATTCCCAGAGGTGGGACTACTGGATTCAAGAATATGAAGACCAAGGACACCTGGCTCCTCAGTCGGTGGAGCAGGCGACTCCTGATCTTGGGGTCATGAGTTCGAGCCCCATGTTGGGTGTAGAGATTATGTAAAACTAAGATCTTTTTTTTTGTTGTTTTTAAGATTTTATTTATTTGACAGAGAGAGATACAGCGAGAGAGGGAACACAAGCAGGGGGAGTGGGAGAGGGAGAAGCAGGCTTCCTGCAGAGCAGAGAGCCCGGTGTGGGGCTCGATCCCAGGACCCTGGGATCATGACCTGAGCCGAAGGCAGATGCTTAATGACTGAGCCACCCAGGCGCCCCTTAAAACTAAGATCTTAAAAAAAAAAAAGGAAGAATATGAAGAGAGAGAGAATGGAGAAGCAGCAGTTTGGACCAAGCCTGAAGCCTTGACACTGGGGGCCTGAGGCGCTGTGTAAAGCACTTAGGGCAGGGCCTGGCACACGGGAAGAGGCCAGTGAGACTGGCCGAGGGCATTTCAACACATCCGAGGCAGCAGATGCCAGTACTTACAGTGGCCAACCCCCATGGCTCCGTAATGATTAGACACAGCAATGAGGTCGTACACATAAGGCCTCGCCGACAGGTCACACACAAACTCGGACATGTTCAGAGCTCTGAGCACAAAACACAAAAATGGCCTTTAACACATTAACCTCAGAGAAAGAAGCTGGAGTAAGCGAACACCCCGTTTTATGCACGAGGCTGGCACACAGGAGCACTCAGACACGAGCTGCAGCAGGAACGAATGCTGAGGCCGCAGCGGCAGGGGCCCCGGACAGAAGCTGCCCGGGGCACGGCGGGCAAGGGCTCCGGGCACGTGAGAGCGCTGCAGCGACTCTGCAGCAACGGCCATCAGGATCAAAGTCACCGCTGGTGCCATTAACATTGCAGCTAAATACCGAAACAGGTCCCCGTAAACTTTTCTCCCCCGGTATTTTATTTTGAAAATTTCAAACATAGAGAAAAAAAGTTAAACACATTTTTAGACAAACATCTATACTCTATCTGCCTCTCTACCTCCACTCCCACCCCCGAGAAGCATTTTAAAATCTGCACTTTGTGGACGAACTCTTATCTGGTTGACTTACTTTCCTGGGCCTATCACTCTGCGTCCTGGCACCTGGGGACACGAGTAGACAGCCAGTCCCACTCTCTGCCCCAGGGACCAGACAGGTGGCTCTGCACCCCCGCTGCAGCCCCGTTATCCAGTTCTCCTCAGCAGACTACACTCCGGTCGCTTTTTCACAGTTAACGAGAGGCAGCACTGTGTTTGTGCTGTCCAGACGAGCCCAGGCCCCTTGGACCAACGATGGATGGGAGGCCCAGTTCAGTGAGGGGGCATCAATGATCAGCAGCATCACTCTGAGCCTGGGAAGTGCTTCTGCTGGAGAATGTTTTCCCCAAAGGCAGGAGGATGGGAAGGGGGTGCTGAGCCGAAGTCCAACTGCCTGAAGCCCAGCAACACACCTCCCAATGCAGAAAAGTCTTTCGTGACAAAACTCTCAGCCAATCGGTACCTAGGTCTCCTGCCTACTTCTTAATTTCCTAAGAATGCTGCAGCTCAGGGACCCACCTGACTGGGAATTCCACCACTGTGTCGAGCTTATCTCTCCAATATCTATTGTAAGAGAAACGTTTGAGATGGACCACCAGGATCTTCGGCAAGGACCACAGGTCAAACTTCTTAGTGGCCTGTTGATGCTTCTTACAGTTGGGACAGTACCTGCGGAGAAAAGAGAAACTTCCACTTAGCGGGGAGACAGAGAGCCAGGGCCCCCTGGGCCCCCAAGCACGGAGCCATGGCCACAATCCCACAGCATCCTTCCCTGAGCTCGG